AAATCTTTCCATTCTGCATCAAATACAGGTACAAAAGTTGGATCATCTAAATCCATATATTTTTGTATTTTAAAATTAAATTTCATTCTTTTCAAATTACTAAATTTAGCTAAATCATTTGCCAAAGTTTCAGTAAAACTACGTGTAGCTTCAAATAGTGTATTAATTATTAAACCACCATTTGATAACCATCCTTTATATCCACCTTGATTTAATATTGACATTGGTTCTGTATAATAACCTGTACCTATAGATATTAAATTATAATTAACCATTTTTTTCCATTGCATTCGTACTGCCCATAATGCTGCTAATTCTGGATCATTAGCAAACATTCCACCATCAATAAATATTTCAGTAGGACCATTTGGTTGAAATAAACCATCTTCTATTTTCCATTTATTCATTTTATATGGTGGAAAATAAGTAGGTGCAGCCATTGTAGCTTTTAATACATCTGCTATACGATATGATAGATGATCATAACAACTTGTATTAAATATCATTATTCTATTTGCTGTTGTATTATAAGCAGTAATAATTAATACTTTTTCACGTTGTTTATGATGATTATATTCATAATCTGAGACAAAAGATTTTTTATCAACATCCGAAGTTAATATGATTGATTTTATATCATCAAATTCTAATAAATTTGTGGGTGTTAAAGGAATTGGTCCTAATGCATCATCACTAATTGAATTTTTAGGATTCAATAAATTATGTATATCTAATAATGTAGCAGTATCAGCTGATAATTGTTTACCATTTACTTCAAGTGAATTAATAATTTCATCTATTTTATTATGTATAGGTGTTGGATCATATTTGGCCCATAGCCAAGGACCCAATATATTACGTTTAAAATAATCAGAAAAATTTATATACAATTTTTGCATATCTAATATATTGTAATTAACGGCAAGACAAAAAGCAATAAGTCCACCTGTACTAGTACCAACAAGATAATCAAATTGATTAGTAAATTGTCGTTGAGCTTGAAGAAATTGCATTTTATATAATTCATTATTATGATCAGACTCATGTTGTTGCACATGAGAGAGGAATTTAGTTTCGATTGTTTCACGAAGAACTCGAATAGGCATGTAACCACGTACACCTATAAATATAAATAACAATAAAAACATGATTATCTAACCTAGTCGAGACTCTTGAACAAATTTCGCAAAAGTTCAAGTAGAATCTTGAGGACACTTTTAGACTTCATAAGGAGGCACTCAAGCAGGAATCCTAAGTTCCGAAGGAATTTCGGATTTCTCCTATTCACTGTATATAACAGACATTAACTTCTAAATTCATTAAAGAACTTCCATAAGGCTTTGATCAGACGTCTCTCAAGAGTAGATGATTGATACTTCTCATCAAACATCTGCGGGGATCGTACAAAGATTCGTAACAGAAGTTGTCACAAATATTTTATAAGAATCATCAGAAAGGAATCTTTGGAAGTATCTGATAGATTTTGAATTACGCTATCGCTTTTCTGTAAAAGTGACGTCATTTTCATATGCACTCAAGAGTATGTAGGCAGATTTTTGCCTACAATATATAATTTCTTGAAAACAACTCTTCAAAAATAAAATTTTCCAAAATATTCTAACTTTTGAACGAAATATTTATTGTAACTTATATTATTTTGTACACAAGATATTTATCTATAAAATTCCATCTAATTTAGCTATTTATCGATCTAACTATCAAGTTATGACTTTTCTTTAAAAATACGTCATTTTTACTTGTAAAAATATTTTTCTGGCAATCTGCATGTCACTTTTTGAATACGATTGTTACAGCAGTTGTTTTTCTTCGTATAGTATTGAACATATTATCAAACCAGTTTAGAATAAATTCTTACACAAGAAATTGTTTTAGTAAATTGCACAAAATATTTTTTACAGGATCTTATTGAAATAAAATGCTTCTCAAAATCTCCATGGTTTTCCAGATATTTTCTGGAATTTATTAATGATATCGCTGATAACATCAACTCCACAATGAAACTCTTTGCTGATGATGTATCTCTGTACTGCATTACAAAAAGGAATGACTTACTTATCCAAGGCTGTGGATCATATATATAAGGACTTAGTCATCATGTATAATTGGTCAGTGACCTCGAAGCTTCATTTGAATATAGATAAATGTATAGCTATGCTTTTCTTTAGTCATAAAGGACTTCAGACTGCTACAATGCCTGTTATCAGCATTAGTAACACTCCCATACCTTACGTTACTAAACATAAACATCTTGGCTTACTACTGAAGAATAACCTGGATTGGGCAGCGCATGTTGATCATATCCTACATAAAATAGACCGTCTGACTGGCTTATTGAAACTTT